TCCCCCTTCCCACTGTCTCTCTGGCAGGAGTAGGGCCAGGTTCCTTCCTCCCTGTCTTGCCTTTAACATCCCCATTAATTCAATGGCCTCAGATTCTCATCATCTCTCCTCTTCAAGAGTTTCTCAATAACTGTTCTCTTTTTTTTATTCAAGTAATATATTAATACATACACATTCATTTAATTAATTTAAAAATATTTATTGAGTACTTATTGTGTGCTAGACACTGTTAGATGTGGAGGATGCAGCCATGAACAACACGACAAAAATCCTTGCCTTCATGGAGTCATAGCCCAGCAGGTGAGATGCGCTGTAGACAAGAAACAAAAGAGAAATGTTCTATGACTTAAGATATTTTTGGGGGGAGAGGGGAAAGCTACTTTAGACAGGGTGGTCAGGGAGGGCCTCGCCGAGGGGGTGGACCTAAGAAATGAGATGGAGTCAGGTGGAGAAAAGGGAACAGAAAGGCAGAGCTTATTAGCTATATTATCTTGGGCAAGTGCAAAGGCCCTGAGGCCAAAATGAAAGGAACAAGGACTGTAAAGGGGCAACTGAGGTTAAGAAGTGAGGTATGGGTACAGGAGGATGAGGATGGAGGGATGGACAGGGCCACAGTGAGGGTTTGGGTTTTATGCAGAGGGTGATGGAGGCACTGGACAATAAAATATTTCTCCAACGCAGGCCTTAGAAGCTTTCTATGTATTTCCATACATGCAGGTGCATGTACACATGTTGATTTTTATCTGCTCTTCAGGCCTTTGCACATGCTGATCTCTCTTACTAAAATGCTGTTCTCCCACCCCGCCCCTATTATGTGACACTTGTTGACCATTGGAAGTTCCGCTTTTCTCTACCTTCTCAAAACGGAGTCCTCTGAGCAAGGGAGGTGCTTCATCCATTCTGGATGGACCTCAGGGCCTGGCACAGAGGCAACCTAGGAAATGCTTGTTGACTGACTGCCTGACTGATGGAACAACTAAATGAGCTTTCAAGGATGTAGAACCCTACGTCCAGCAGGCTCCCCAGTCAGGCCACCCGCTGCTCCAGACTTTCTACTCCACACCTCCATCTCTTCCTCCACCTAAATCTGTCTGTCCTATGTCACATTCCCTAAGGGCCAGCTAGTTGGCACTGAACCTAATCTGATTACAGTTTAGAGAATCTTGGGATAAGCAATGTAACAATTTCAGGCATGAAGCCAAGTAAGGAAGAGGGAAAGTCTGGGAAACCTCCAGTGTCTCCCTCCACAATGAGTGCTCCAGCCATTTCAGAAAAGTTAACTTGTCTAGGGGAAGGAGAGAAATCACGAGCAGCTTAAACCAGACTCCCAGCTGCAGGGGGAAGAAGGTAAGGACACACAAGGTGATGCTTGGCCCTGACATCTCGTTAGGTTCACTGGGATTGGTAGCAGACGGCAAAGCTTGGTGGTTGTCATGGGCTGAATTGTGCCCCCACAGAATTCATATGTTGACATCCTAACCCCTACTACCTCATTCTGTATTTGTAGATAAGGCCTTTAAAGAGTAATTAAAGTTAAATGAGATGGTATAGGTGGACCCTAATTCAATATGACTGACGTCCTTATAAGAAGTGGAGATTTGAATACACGCATAGACTAAGGGGTGACCACATGAGGACACAGTAAGAAGGCAGCCATCTGTAAGCCAAGGAGAGAGGCCTCAAGAGCAACCAAACCTGCAGACACCTTGATCTTGGACCTCCAGCCTCCAGAATTATGAGAAAATAAATTTCTGTTGTTTAAGCCTCCCAGTCCATGGCATTTTGCTATGGAAGCCCTAGAAAACTAATGCAATGGTTAAGATCAAAGCCTCTGGAACCAGGGGGTTGGATTCCAAACCTGGCTCCATCTTGTATTAGCTATGTCATCATAGGCAAAGTTACTTTGCTTCTCTCTGTCTCAGTTTCCCATCAGTTAAATGGCATGATTATAGCACCTACCTCAAAGAGTTGCCATGAGAATGAAACGGTTAATAAAGCACTTAGGAAACAATTCCTGGCATACAGCAAGTACTCTGTAGGTGCTCGTTAAATAAGTAAGTTCACTTTTGCTGGACAAAGGTGGATAAACAGGCTCTGCTCTGAGGAACTCAGAATTATGTGCAATCAAAAAGGGTCACCAGGCAATGATAAGTGTTCCCATGTGGCAATTCTTTACCCTGGCCTCCTGGAGAGCAGAAACTTACTAATCTCCGTGAGAAAGCATTTAGCAAAAGATAACACTCAGCAATAACTTGAACCAAATAGTTTCCAAATATCCTCTCCTGATGCTGGGCCACATGTCACGACTTGGTGACTGATTCTTCTTGGGAGTATCAAGTGCTATTTCCAGAAGTTCTGTTTGGTTCCTTTTCAAATTTTCCTTTTTTTCCCCAGTATATAATTTTCTGTTCCCTATAGCTATTTTCTAGCTTTAAATCTTGTGCACACAATTTTCTTTTAAAGATTTTATTTTTTTCCTTTTTCTCCCCAAAGCCCCCAGTACATAGTTGTATATTCTTCGTTGTGGGTCCTTCTAGTTGTGGCATGTGGGATGCTGCCTCAGCGTGGTTTGATGAGCAGTGCCATGTCTGTGCCCAGGATTCGAACCAATGAAACACTGGGCTGCCTGCAGCGGAGCGGGCAAACTTAACCACTTGCCATGGGGCCAGCCCCTTGTGCACAGAATTTTCAAAAACCTGTCTGTGAATTACAATGCTTGGCATCTGTGTTGCTCTGTTGCACCCATGTGCTGTGTCTGTTGATTGTTCTTCATGAAGTCCTGGGTGCCTGGTTATCTCCGGCTATGTGCTGGTCATCACCTTGAAAAATTACTTGTGGTGGATCCCTGAAGCCAAAGACATATGTGCCCTTCTTCAGAGAGGCTTTGCATTTGCTTTTGTCAAGGGTTTAGGGGCACTTTCAGTCAGTTATCACCTCAAACCAGGTTTCCAGTTCATAGCTTGAGATTTCTTGGGCTGCCAGACTCTACTCTCTGGGGTGTAAAAGGACTCATCAATGGTCACAACTTCCCAAGGAAGGGCTTTAAAAAAAACCTCCCCTTTCTTCTTCCTTCAGCTGTTCTGCTCAGGACCAAGGCAATCTTTTCTGAACTCCCTTGGGGCTAGTGGTATGGGGTGTACAGCAGATTCATATCACACTAAACTTGAGGTGAAACCCTTTAGGGTCTCAGCTTAATGTGAGGAGATTCTTCTATAAGACTCCCCACTTGGACAAGCCCTGGACTTTCACTTCTGTGCCTCTTTCTCTATGTGGTTCATGAACTGAAACCCACAGGTTCAGTATTGGCAAATACCTTCATGTCATAAGTAGCTTTGGTCTTCCAATATCTTCCCGTTAACTTGTTACTAACTTCACTCAATAATTGGCCTGGGCATTCCCCAGGCTTTTAAGGATTTCATTGTTTTTCAGAGGATATTTTTATATTTTATTTGACATTGCAAGTATTTTCAGAGGATTAACTGAATAAACCAGTCCACCCTTACCAAAAAAGAAAGAAAACTCAGTTTCAGCGACAAAATAGACCCAGCATAATTCCTCCTTCACTGACCTCTAACGTCATTTTCTGACACTAACCCAGGCAATAATATCACAGAAAAATACCACGTGGCCCAAGTACCAGGGGACACCCTTACAAGTCACAGTCACCACTCAACGTGTAGTTGTTATCCAGTGACAACTCCACACAGTGACATCATACATAAATGTCACTCATCAATGCTCTGGGAGATGACAAGCCAAACTGTACTGCTTCAACAGGCATATGTTTGGCACCCACCATGCGCTAAGTGCCGGTGTCACAGCAGAAAACCAGACGGACAAGGTCTCTGCCCTCACGAGATTTACACTCTGGTAGAAGCAATGAACAATGAATATGCAGCAAATAATAATTTCAAAGAGTAAAAAGTTCTATGCAGAAAATAAAAGAGGGTAACGAGTCAGAGTGGGCAGTGTTACTTCAGATGGGATAGCTAGGAAGGCCTCTCTGAGGAGGTGGCATTTGAGCTGAAATCCAAAGGTTGAGAAACAGCCAGACATAGGAAGAACTGGGAGTGGTGCAAACCAGGCAGGGAAATAGCAAGTTCAAAGGAGCCCTGAGCGCTGAGGCAGGAGCATTCCTGGCATGCTCAAGGAATAGCAAGGAGGCCAATTTGGCTAGAGAGGAGTGAGTGGGAGGGAAAGTGAAGGAACATGAGGTTAGAGACGGAAGCAAGGTCTAAATTTTAGAGTCTACTCTGTGGGCCGTGGGAAGGAGTTTGGATTTTAAGAATAAATGGAAGCCATTGAGGGTGCCAAGTGATTTATACTCGGAGAAGATCGCTATCATCCCTGTTACCCAATCAGAACTGTCACGTGTAAAGATGAGGCCTGCCTCCTCGCAGTGTCATCATCTCAACTCTGGGAAGGGAGACTCCTCTTTTAGGAAGGCTTCTTCGAAGCTCACAGGTAACACACCTCCTTCCCAGCAGCCAAAAAAGTATGTTTTCTTTTCTTTCTTTTTTTTTTTTTTGAGGATGATTAGCCCTGAGCTAACATCTGCCCCCAATCCTCCTCTTTTTGCTGAGGAAGACTGGTCCTGAGCTAACATACGTGCCCATCTTCCTCCACTTGTTATGTGGGACGCCTACCACAGCATGGCGTGCCAAAGCGGTGCATGGCCGCACTAGGGATCCAAACCAGCGACCGGTGCCACCAAAGCAGAACGTGGGAACTTACCCCCGGGGCCACCAGGCTGGCCCCAAAAGTATGTTTTCTGATTGGACAAATTCAGGCGTGGGCTTCTAACCTTCCTTAGGTTGAGTTGGGCGGAGCCCACTGTGATTGGTTACAAGCTCTCTCTTCTCTTCCAATCAGACCGCTATTCGGGAGAGTGCGCGCGTCCCATTCCACTTGTGAGATGATTCTGCCCTGTGATTAGCTCTCCCTGGATGAGTGACAGGAGACACAGCCTATGGGCTCAAGAGTCGGTGGCGCTGCCCAGCACTGCCGGCGCAGCCCGGCGCTGCGGGCTGTGTAGTTGGAACTTCGGGCTGTCTGTGTGCATCCTGCTCTGTGCCTGCCACTTGGCGCGCCACCCGAGCTATGGCCGCCCCACCGCGGTTGCGGGCTCTGCTCCTTGCGGTCAACGCACTATTGCGCAAGCGCCGCTACCACGCTGCCTTGGCGATGCTTAAGGGGTTCCGGAACGGGGTAGTGTGAGTAGGGTCGTTGGGTCGGGCCGGGGCTGAGGGACGGGCCTGGCTGGGGTCGGAGAAGCGGGTTCTAGGACCCGCGCTGCCGCGCTGTGTGCCCTTGAGCAGACCTAGTGTGTCCCTAGGTTTCAGTGTCCACCCTCTCCGCAGTGGGCCCTGGATTTGGGGTTCCCAGCGCCTTCTGAGCCCGGGCTCCCACTACGCTGTTTCTGGGTCCTCTGCTTTGCAGTCCGGCCCTCTTGCCGGGACCACCTTCCATGCCAGCCTCTGTATCCCCTCGTTTGAGTCCAGTTCCTCCCAACCCCCCTCCTCTCCGCTGTGTGCCCTAGGGCCTCTCTGGCTTCAGTGGCCCCATCTCCACAATGGGAACTGGACTCTGGCCTCTTAACTGGCTGGTGGCGCCTCCTACCCATGCTCCACCCATTAAGCTTCCCGTGGGCTCACATCCCGCTTCTCACCTCTCGTCGGTATGACTCTAGCGCGAAGTCCCCATGGCACAGGAGACTTCTGCAGCCTAGTCTCAGGAGTGACAACGACTGTAAAAGAATCTCCAAATATTTGCTAGGCAAATTGATCCAGCCCTGGTCTTAAAGCCTGCAAGAGAGGAGGTCTTGGGGTCATTTTCGTTGGCTGGTGCCTAGAGGAGAGCTCCGCCTCCTGTGAGCCTCATGCGCAACAGCTATCATTTATTGAGAGCCCACTGTGCCAGAACTGGGGATGCAGCAGAGGACAAACCCAGCAAAGGTCTGTGTCCTCCGGGAGTTGGCATCCTAGTGGCAGCATGACATGGTGGTGAGGAAGTGGATTGTCTCAGGTTTTTTTTTTTTTTCTGCTTTTTCTCCCCAAATCCCCCCAGTACTTAGTTGTATATTTTAGTTGTGGGTCCTTTCCAGCTGTGGCATGTGGGACGCCCTCCCAGCGTGGCCAGACGAGTGGTGCTATGTCTGCCCAGGATCCGAACTGGGGAAACCCTGGGCCACCGCAGCCGAGTGTGTGAACCTAACCACTCGGCCACAGCGCGGCCCAGGATTGTCTCAGTTCTAATCCTAGTGCCACCTCCCTGTGTGATCTTGAGCAAGTCATTTAGCCTCTCTAAGCTACAATCTGTATAAAATGGGGATGATAATAGTACTTATAGGTCAGAGGCTTGAGTCAGTATGTGTGCAATACTTGGCACAGAGCCTGTTATTTATGTAACTGTTGGCTGGTGTTTTCTTTTTTTTTTTTTTGAGGAAGATTAGCTCTAAGCTAACATTTGCTGCCAATCCTCCTCTTTTTGCTGAGGAAGGCTGGCCCTGAGCTAATGTCTGTGCCCATCTCCCTCTACTTTATATGTGGGACACCTGCCACAGCATGGCCTGCCAAGTGGTGCGATGTCTGCACCCTGGATCTGAACTGGTGAACCCTGGGCCACCGAAGCAGAACGTGTGCACTTAACCGCTATGCCACTGGGCCGGCCCCTAGTGTTATAATTGTTATATTCACCTGGATGTCTGCCTGGCTCACTCCCTCACCTTTTTCAGGCCTCTCCTTAAGTGTCACCTCCTCAATGAGGCTATCCCTGAACTCCCTACCTCTTCTCTGCTTAATTTTTCTCCATAACTAGTCACCATCTGACACTAAGTAGTTCACTTATGTATCCTGGTTTTTTGTTTTGTTTTGTTTTGAGGAAGATTAGCCCTGAGCTAACATCTGCCAATCCTCCTTTTTTTGCTGAGGAAGACTGGCCCTGAGCTAACATCTATGCCCATCTTCCTCCACTTTATATATGGGACACCTACCACAGCATGGCTTGCCAGGCGGTGCCATGTTCGCACCCGGGATCTGAACTGGTGAACCCCGGGCCGCCAAAGCGGAACATGCGAACTTAACCTCTGTGCCACGGGGCTGGCCCCTGTGTATCCTGTTTTTATGTGCTGTCTTGCTTACTAGAGAGTGTCGCGGGAGCAGAAATTTTTATCTACATTGTTCCTTGGTGTATTCCTAGTACATGATACATAGTAAGCTCTCAAATATTTATTGAATGAATGAATAAGCGTGCAAGGTGGGAATTGACATTGTCCCCGTTTTCCAGATGAGAAGACTGACTCAGAGAGGTAAACTCGTTGCTCATAGTCACGTCACTTGGTCAGGGTCAGAGCCAGGTCGGACTCAGGGATGGATGCCTGACCCCAGCGCCAGGCTCTTGGCTTCCGTGGGCACCTAGAATCAAGTAGAGATTGGTTCCTGCTGGGTCTGGCCAGATCATATCAGCCAGGCCTTGCTGTGACCGGGGGTGAGCCTGAGATGACATGAGTGGCCCTTTGCCTGGATATTCTCAGGATAATGCAGGAGTGAGTAAGAGTCACAGAGGCCCTGGGACCAGTGGGCATTGTCTAATGCTGACTTTGTATGCCTGCTGCTACCCCAATTCTTCCTGTGATCTCACGGACCTTCCCAGCCTGGGAAGGTACTTGTTAAGGTCAGGCCCTTGGGGCTGCCCGGTGGCGCAGTGGTTAAGTGCACACGTTCTGCTTCGACGACCCGGGGTTCACCAGTTCAGATCCAGGGTGCAGACATGGCACCGCCTGGGAAGCCATGCTGTGGTAGGCATCCCACGTATAAAGTAGAGGAAGATGGGCACGGATGTTAGCTCAGGGCCAGTCTTCCTCAAAAAGATAAATAAGTAACATAAAATAAGGTCAGGCCCTTGGGTTCAAATGCCAGTTCCTTCATTTCAAAACTGGATGCCTTCGTCTCTTCTGGCCTCAGTTTCCTCCTCTGTAAAATGGAAACAAACTCACCCATACAAGGGTGCCCGAAGTCGGTGATCCCATTACTGGCTAGTGCTGAGATCCTGTGTCCATCTGTAAGGACCTGGAGTCTCGCGGGGGAGACTGATCATTAAACTACCATGGCAGTACCGGGGATCTGGAATGCCTTACAGCATTTACAGAGGAGGCGATGGTGGTATTTCGAAGACTGAGCTGGAATTTGCCAGAGGGAGAAGAGAATGGTTTGAACGTCTAAAAAAATATGTTGTTTGTGCACACAGGCCATCCATTTAGGGCAGCAGGGCTGGACAACCGGGACGTATAAACTTTGTAAAATTTAACTCACTTTGATGTTCCACTCCTAAATATATCAATGTGCATCTCTAAAAATAAAAGTGTTTTCCTATATGGCTAAACGATCATGGTTACATTTAATAAATTAATAAGAATCCTAAGATGTTGACTACTGTCCAGTTGATAGGTTGTCCGAGTTGTCCCCCAGATGTCCTCTTGGGCTAGTTTGTCCAGACCAGGATCCTCCAGGGCATCACGTTGCACCTGTCATTATGTCCGTTAAATTCTTTTTCATCCAGGGCATCCCTTTGTTCAGGACACAGAGTAATCCTGTGAACAGTAACCAGCTCCCACCTGAGTTTGAGGACTTTGGGAAGGGGGTGTAGCAGATGTCGGGCGTTGGGGGCCCTGTTCCGCCTGTGTATGCGGTATAAGAAAGGGCCCATTTAGCGCTGGCCAGCTGGAGGAGGCTGAGGGCCTCTTTGTTTAGGGCGAAGAGATGTGACTTTGGAAGAGGTGGGGCCGAGAGCTTACTGGGGCCAGGATGAGGGTCCTGCCCATGGCTAGGCAGGCGAGAAGATAGTGATTCAGCCCAGCCACCACAACAATAGCATCAGCTTTAACTTGTTAACATTTTTATTTTATTTATTTTTTAAAATTAGGGAAAATGTAAGCTAAATAAGCCAGACAGAGAAAGACAAGCACACGTGATTTCACTCATATGTGGAAGATAAATAAACACAAAGAGACAGATTAGTGGTTACCAGAGGGGAATGGGGTTCGGCAGTGAGCAAAAGGGGTAAAGGGGCATGTTGTATGGTGATGGATAAAAGTTAGACTATTGGTGGTGAGCATGATGCAATCTATACAGAATACTGATAAATAATAATGTACACCTCAAATTTCACAATGTTATAAACCATTATGACCTCAATAAAATAATAAAAAAATTAAGTAACATAGTCACAACAGGCATAAGAAGTTATCTGGTACAAAGTCCTGCTCACTCCGTCCTTCCATCACCCATTCCCGCTGCCTGGAGGTGACCCCTGTGTTCTATCTGTTATGTGCCCCTCCAGAAATATTGTCTGCATATATAAATGCATTCTTCTCTACACCTTTAAAACAAGTTTTACTTTGAAATAATTTTAGATCTATAGAATTACCTTGTTTTACACAATTTTACGTTTTACACACTTTGCTCTAGTAAATCCTGCAGTACACGTAAAGCCACCTCATTCTTCTGCGGCCGTGTAGTATTCCACTGAATGGTGGGACCATAGTTTATTTATCCAGTGGCCCCCTGTGGACGGACACGGGTTCGCTTCCAGTCTTTTGCTATTTCAAACAAGCCTGTGAGGAACATTCACAGATAATCATACGACAACAATATGTGGCTCATGACGATTGTCTCGAGGAGGCTGTCAAGGATTTTTAGACCTTGTAGCCTGGTTAGATCAGGATCTGGCAGCTGGAGAACTTGGTTGGGAAAGAGGGAGTCTGATAAAGAAGAACAAGAGGGGCTGGGGTCGGCCCCGTGGCTGAGTGGTTAAGTTTGCGCGCTCTGCTTCAGTGGCCCAGGGTTTCACCGGTTCAAATCCTGGGCGCGGACATGGCACCGCTCATCAAGCCATGCTGAGGTGGTGTCCCACATGCCACAACTAGAAGGACCCACGACTAAAAATACACAACTACGCTATGTACCGGGGGGCTTTGAGAGAAAAAGGAAAAATAAAATCTTAAAAAAAAACAAAACAATGCCCAGGCTCCATCCCAAGCCAACTAAATAAGGATCTGTGGGCACTGGGGCTCAGGCACTGTACTAAAAAAAAAAAAAGAACAAGAAAGGAAGAGATACCAATATTGGTTGAAGTAGGAACTTTTACATGTGCTATGACCTTAACTTCCAGAAGCGACCCTGAAACGGAAGATACTTTTCACTGATGGAAGAAGGGAGACTCAGAGAGGTTAAGCAATTGATCCAAGTTCATACAGCAAAACATGGCAGAGCTTTGGCACCAAATATTATTTCCTTTCTACTACCCACTTGAGTATAGTTAAAACAATGAAGGTAAACATGAAGGTGAATGTGGTCTTACTCCCGTGATCCCCAGATGCTCAAATGAGAAGCTGAAAGGAGGGTCGGGGGAAGAGGTTTGAAGCTTAAAAAGAGGCAATTAGTGTAACACTTAAAATGTATTTCAGGGGCCGGCCCGGTGGCACAGCCGTTAAGTTCGCATGTTCTGCTTCGGTGGCCCGGGGCTTGTCAGTTCGAATCCCAGGTGCAGACATGGCACCGCTTGGCAAGCCATGCTGTGGCAGGTGTCCCACATATAAAATAGAGGAGGATGGGCACGGATGTGAGCTCAGGGCCAGCCTTCCTCAGCAAAAAGAGGAGGATTGGCAGCAGATGTTAGCTCAGGGCTAGTCTTCCTCAAAAAAAAAGAAAAGAAAAAGAAACTATAAAATGTATTTCAATTATTTTAATTTTAAAAGCAATGTTTAATCATTGTAGATCATTTTAGAAGTATAGAAAAATGTAAAATAACAGACAAAAATAAATTCCCGTGTTCCCCCAGACCAGGAAACGTTGCTAATAACATTGTGGGATATTTCCTCCAGTCTTTTTTTTAAAATGCATTTTTACAAAGTTGAGGTTCCCCCATGTATAATAATTGGAAAGAGGTGCGTTTTGAGCAGGTAGAAGGAAATACAATGTTAGTTAGCAACTGCTTTAGGGAATTTGTTAACTTTAAGGCGGACTAAGACAAAGAGAATCTTCTAGAGATTATGTTCCCTCGCAGATAATTAAGGTCTATTCTGGAATCAGTCAGTCAACAATCATTTATTAAGCACATACTATATGTCAAGTACCATGCGAGCTGCTGGGGACTCTACAGAGGATAAGCCAGACACAGTTCCTATCCTCACAGAGCCCAGAATAGAGGGAAGGGATAATGAGAATAGAATAAGTAATTATGAATAATCAAGTCATTCGCTCAGGAGTGTAAAGTGCTGCAGAGAAGCTTGGGGATCTGTGCAATGAAAATATGGCCCTAACCTAGGCTGGGGGCTCAGAAGCCTTCACAGTGGGCCCAGCTGCATCTGGAAAGCTGAGGAAGAGGGTGGGTGAGTAATAAGGAAAGAGCATTCCAGGCAGAGGGAACAGCCTGGACAAAGGCCCAGAGTCAGGGAAGAACATGGTGTGTCAGAGGACCTCCAGGAAGGCCAGTGGGGCTGGAGCAGGAGAGGAGTGGCATGGGGTGAGGTAGGAGAGGTCAGCAGCAGCCAAATCCTGCAGCACTTTCAAGGCTGTGGAAAGGAGCCTGGATTTAATTTTGTGAGTAGTGGAAAGGTGTTGGAGGCTTTTAAGCTGGGAGTGATGTGATGTGATTTGTGTTTAAAAAAGATGAATCTGGCTGCGCTGGGAAAGTCAGGGTGGGCAGAGGCAGCAACTCCAAGCAGCCAGCCGACTGGGGATGGTGAAGGCATTTTACACACATTGTCTCCTTTCATCGAAATTGCAACCAGCCCTCTGACGTCTGACACCCTCTTTTGCTGTTGGGCACACTGAGGCTCAGAGAAGTTAAATCACAAGCCCAAGGCCACACTACCAAGAACCTGTCAGAGGCAGGATTTGAACCCAGATCTAACTCGAAAGCCAGCATTATTTCTCCTCCCAGAATGCTCTGAGAATTAGGAATGGAGAGAGGGGCAAGGAGTCCGAGAGAAAGCTCAGAAAGAAACTGTGGTGCAGCGATGCCATAGCAACTGTTTCCTTTTGTTTCTACAGCTATGGAGTCAAAATCCGGACCCCTCACGCGCTGGTCATGACATTTCTCTTCCGGAGTGGCAGGTACGCACCCCCTCCACACACCCCTCAAACTGGGAGAGAACGTGGTCAGCCCTCAGTGCCAGGACGGATGTCGTAGCTTCCTAGCTGGGTCTAGCCTGTCCCCACCTCACCACCTGAAGTACAATTCTGATTCTATTATTCCCGCTCTAAAACTCCCCTGACTCCCGCTGTCCTCCAGAGAAGCCCAGGTGAGGCCTTCACGACCGTCTGCAGCCTCGTCTCAGCTGCATCCCCGCACCACGCGCCTACATCCCCCCGGAGCGCCCTGGGCACACAGGACTCCCTGCCATTCCATGCACGTGCCACGTGTGGCTCCCCCGTCACACATTCGCTCCTGCTGCGCCCCCACCAGAAATGCCCTTTCCTTCTCCACTCTGCCTTCTTTGCTCATATGCCTTGGTCTTCCTCTGATCTCCTATAACTCTTCCCTCAAGGCTCTTTTCAGAAACCACCCTGTGGTCTAGTTTCTAATGTGTGTAGCCTGCAGCTTCTAAGAATCACATATGGACAGCCTCCTGGGCAAATCCAGCTTGCAAGACCTTCTCTTTTTGTATTTTTGCTTGATTTATTTATTTTTACTTGTCTTGGTTTTTGCCTTCCATTCTCTTAAAATTGAACTCGTTCATTCATTCAGGAAATAGTTATTGGGCATCTGGTATGTGCCAGACTCTGTGTTAGGTGCTGGGGTACAGCAGGGAACAGATGGACAAGGATCACTGCCCTTGTGGAGCTCACATGCTAGCAGGGCATGGCAGAGAGTGAACATCATAAATAAGGAAAGGATATGGTACGTTAGCAGATAATGTGGGCTATGGGAAAGAAAAATTAGAGCCGGGATAGAGGAAGGAGGGTCGAGTGCCGGTGGAGAGGCAGGCTGCAGAATTAAAGAGGGAAGGCCTCAGTGAGAAAGTGACATTCAAGTACAGACTTGAAGGAGTTGAAAGAGTTGGCCAAGTGGGTAACAGGGGAGTGTTTCAGGCCAAGGAAACAGCCCATGCAGAGGCCCTGAGGTAGAATCACGCCTGGTGAGTTTGAGGAGGCTGGAACCAAGGGATTAGAGAGGAGAGAACAGAGAGGAAGGTCACTGGGGTAACCTGGGCCCATCCTGTCCAGCTTTAGGCCGTAGAGGGGAGGTGGCTTTTCCTTCAAGTGAAACAGGCAATTGTAAGATTTTGTGCAGGGACGTGCCATGACAGGACACATCAGCAAGACGGCGGGTTTGGTTCCAGACCACCACAGTAAAGTGGATATCGCAGTAAAGTGAGTCACAGCAATGTTTTGGTTTCCCAGTCCATATAAAAGTTATGTTTACACTATACTCTAGTCTGTCGCATATGCGAGAGCATTATGTCTAAAAAGCAATGTACGTACCCTTAATTTAAAAACACTTTATTGCTAAAAATGCTAACCATCAGCTGAGCCTTCAGCAAGTTGTAGTCTTTTTGCTGGTGGAGGGTCTTGTGAAAAACGCAGTATCTGCAAAGTGCGATAAAGCAAAGGGCAATAAAACGAGGTGCACCTGCATTTGACTTAGCTTTTGATAATGTGAGAGTGAAGAGTTTGCTGCCACACTAAGAAGAGACAGGGGCCGGGGACCAAGGGCAGAAGGAGGTGTAAATTAGGAGGCTGTTGCAGTAATCCAGATGAGCGAGGCCGGTGGTTCAGACCTTGGTGGTGCCAGTGGTGGTGAGAAGTGCCAGACTGTAGAAATATTTTGCAGGTAGGATGAGTACCAATATTTAAAGACTGGGAAATCCAGCTTTCTTCCCTTAGAACTGGCAGCCCTGGGCCCATGTTCCTGTGGGGTGCAAATCAGCCGACTCCTGGCTGTCCCCACTCACCTGGCAGATTTCCACAGGTCCACTTTGGCATCCTTGTGTAGCCTTGAGGGCACTTGGGTTTGCCACCCTTGAATTGATCTCCCAGAGTACACTCTGCCCTTCTCCCTGTGTTCTCCCTACTGCCCCCTGGTGATTTAACTTTAAAAGATAACTGGAATCCCTCCCCTGCTTAAATGTTCACTTCTCTCAGGATAAAGACAAAACTTAGTGTGGCCCCATCCCTCCCCCACATCCTTTGCCCACACATTCTCTGCCCAGGCCTTGATGCTTTCTTTGTTCCTTTACTCCCCACTCTCTGTCCCTCCTCAGGACCTTTGCACCTGCTGATCCCTCTGTCTGGGATGCAGCTCCTCTCTCCTTTTGACCTCATCGACTCCTCATCCTTCAGCTCCCAGGATCATCTCTTGTCAAGGTCAACGTTTGACCCTTGTTTTGTGATTATTTATTTATATTTCCTTCTCCCATTAGATTAAACTTCTTGAGGGTGGCTAGAGATCTGTTTTTTCTCAGAATTGTATCCTTAGATCCATCACATAGTAGGCATTCACTCACTTTCTCACTCGTTCATTCATGTCTTCACACGTTCATGCCAAAAAAATATTTATTGATCATCTACTATGTGCCAGGCCCTGTTCTGGACCCTGAGAATGAACAAGCCAGGGGTAGACACCACTCTCTAGGAGCTTCCACTGGGATGGAGCAGGAGTCGGGGGAGATAAGAAAAAAACATGTGAATGTCAGGTGGTGAAACGAGCTATGAAGGAAAAGAAAAGGATAAGGGGACAGGATGTGCTGGGAGTTCTTTTATGTAGGATGGTCAGGGAAGGCCTCTTGGAGGAGGTGGCATGGAGTCAAAGCCTGAATCAAGTGAGGGAGCAACCCTGAGGACACGGCTAGAGGCCTCAGGTTGAATGAGCATCGGCAGTGAGTTTCTTGCCTGAGTCAGTTTTGCATGCCCAGTGGGCGAATGCCCTTGGAATGGCTGGCCCCGCGCTCACAGTGGCTCCCTCTGTCTGTGCAGCTTCCGGGAGAAGCTGCGGGCCATCCTGCAAGCCACGTACATCCATTCCCGGAACCTGGCTTGCTTTGTGTTTGCCTACAAGGGACTCTGTGCCCTGCAGTCCTGCGTGCAGGGCGAGACCTACCAGGTGCACTCCTTCCTGGCTGCCTTCGTCGGGGGCTGGCTGGTGTTTGGAGACAACAATAGCATCAACAGCCAGGTAAAGATGCTCCCGGGATGTGGACGGGGGTGGGGTGGGGCCTGGTTCAGGCGTAGAGTTGGGGGTGGGGGTCGAAGATGAGCTCTTGGCTCCCTTCCACGTCTGAGGATCTGTGATTCACCAGTCCTTGTGTGACCTTGGGAACATCAGTTTCTCCATCTGTAAACCAAGCAGCTTGTTGGAATGCCATGGTTCTCAAAATCAATGTAGGTGCTATTCTCTGGGGCAAAGACTTTTTTTTAAATAAAAACCACTCTGCAGTGAAATGAGAAAAAAAAATGACCCTGGAGTAAGATTTTCATAAAACAAAGCTTATTAAACTCAGATTATCTCTTATTCTATAACTTGCCTTTTTTTCTGGGCTAAAATTCCATTTTCTTATGAAATGATGAAACTAAATGCTAGTTGGGGTTTTTGTTTTTTTTTCTTGGTGAAGGAGATTGGCCCTGAGCTAACATCTGTTGCCAATCTTCCTCTTTTTTTCTTTTCTCCCCAAAGCCCCCGTACGTAGTCGTACATCCTAGTTGTAAGTCATTCTAGTTCTTCTATATGGGATGCTGCCACAGCGTGGCTTGATGAGTGGTGTGTAGGTTCATGCCCAGGATCCGAACCAGTGAACCCCAGGCTGCTGAAGCAGAGCACATGAACTTAACCACTCAGCCACAGGGCCAGCCCCTTAAATGTTTTTAAATTATAAAAATAATGGGTTTTTTTTTCACATTTTACAAAATGCAGATTAAGCACCCCCTAGGTCCCTGGCGCACATCTAGGTGCTTGGGATACATCATAACAAAATTAGAAAATGAACTGAAAAGCAAGTCCTCGTCCCCTCTGATTGTCAAGCCATTGTCCAGGGACAGTCACTTGAACTATGTCTTGTGTAGCCCTTCAAAACCTGTCTGTGCTTGTGTCCGTGCACATTCCACCAGGGAGATCGTACTACACTTTTTTTTCATGAAACAATATATCTTGGGGACCTTTCTCATCAGTCCCTTATCCTTTTTAACATCAGCAGAGCTCTCCACTGGGTGGGTGGACCAGCCTTGATCTCACTAGTCTCCTCTGGATGGACATTTAAGCGTCTCCAGCCATTTGCCATTGCACACATGCTGCAGTCTACGTCTTCGTTTGGACATCATCTTGCACATGTGTCAGTCTGTCCAAAAATTCCTAGAGCACTGGCCCTGTGTCCTGCTGGTTAAGTTTGGCGTGCTCTGCTCCAGCAGCCCAGGTTCGCAGGTTTGGATCCTGGGTGCTGAGCTGCACCACTGTCGGCCATGCTGAGGCAGCGACCCACATACAAAATAGAGGACGATCGGCACAGATGTTAGCTCGGGGCTTGTCTTCCTCCAGCAAAAAAAAAGAAAAAGAAAGAAAGTTCCTAGACACGCAATTGTGGAGTCTGTGGAAATGAACATATTCTATTTTGAGAAAGTTTCCCCAGTCTTGTTTTTTTGTCAGAAACTTCACTGGTCTGTGAACTTCTGAAGTCTAGGAATCCAGGTCACAGCCATCTCCCCCCGCCCTCCTTTCCCTGACCCCTGGCATCAACTGCTCTGACCTCCATTTCTAAAATTTTGTCATTTCAAAAATGTTATACAAGTGGACGTAACCTTTGAGGATTGGTGTTTTTCAGAGCATAATTCCCTGGAGATTCATCCGAGTCGTTGTGTATTTCAGTAGCTCATTTCTTTTTACTGTTGAGTGGCAATCTGTGGTATGGATGTACCAAGTTTATTTAACCATTCACCCATTGAACGACAGCTGGTTTGTTTCCAGCTTTTGATTATTAGGCATACAGCTGCTAAGAACATTCCTGTGTAAGTCTTTGGGTAAACATAAGTTTTCATTTCTCTGGGATAAATGCCCAAGAGTGCAGTTGCTGGATCATATGGTCCGTGCATGTTTAGTTTATAAGAAACTGCCAAACTATTTTCCAGAGTGACTGTATTATTTTACATTCCTGTCAGGAATACACAAGCGATCCAGTTTCTCCACATCCTAGCCAGCATTTGGTTTATCACATTTTTTGTTTTAGCCATTTCGATAAGTGTGTAGTGCTATCTCATTGTGGTTTTAATTTGCATTTCCCTGATGGCTAACGATGTGGAGCATCTTTCCAAGTGCTTATATGCCATCTGTATATCCTCTTCAGTGAAATATCTGTTTGCATCTTTTGCCCATTTTCTAATTGGATTGTTTCTTTTTTTATTGTTGAGTTTTGAGAGCTTTTTTAAAAAGTACATTCCAGGGGCTGGCCCGGTGGCACAGTGGTTAAGTGCGCACGTTCCGCCTCGGCGGCCCAGGGTTCACCGGTTCGGATCCCAGGTGCGGACATGGCACCGCTTGTCAAGCCATGCTGTGGTAGGCATCCCACATATAAAGTGGAGGAAGATGGGCACGGATGTGAGCTCAGGGCCGGTCTTCCTCAGCAAAAAGAGGAGGATTGGCAGCAGATGTTAGCTCAGGGCTAATCTTCCTCAAAAAAAATTAAATAAATAAAAATGAAAAATGTATTCCAGATACTAGTCTTTGTCAGATACGTGTTTGTAAATATTTTCTCCCAGTCTATAGCTTTTCTTTCCAGCCTCTTCACATGGGCTTTCACAACCAAAAAAATTTAAATTTAATGAGTTCCAATTTATCAATTTTTTCTTTTATGGATCGTGCTTTTTGATGTCTGTGTAAATTTGAGTTTTGAAATGTGTAAATACATTCATTTTTAAGTTTTTTAATGAAAAAGAGTATTAAAGATGTAAATAGTAATATTAAAATGCCTGCTACATACCACTTCAAATCATCTGGCACGCCAGCTTTAAGAACGCTGATCCAGTGCACAGTAGGCGCCCCAGGGATGGGCATGCTTGGGAGCTTCCCATAGCTGTGCCCACCCGTGATCCCCTGCTCTTCCCTCCCTACAGATCAACATGTACCTGGTGTCGCGCACCCTGTTCGCGCTGTGCCGCCTTGGCGTGGAGAAAGGCTACATCCCTGAACCCAAGCGGGACCCATTCCCGCTGCTCACTGCCGTGGTGTGGGGGCTGGTCCTGTGGCTGTTTGAGTACCACAGGCACACGCTGCAGCCCTCCCTGCAGTCTTCCATGACCTACCTGTACCAGGACAGCAACGTGTGGCACGACATCTTAGACTTCCTCGTCTACAACAAGAGCCGCCCCTCGCAGTGACGCGGACCCAAGGTGCTTATGGGGTCTTGGACACCCGAGTAGGCTCCCGGCTGTGTCTGGCTGTGGCTTGAGAGGTGTCCATCAGTGAAACCTCCCAGAGGATCCTGCTTTCTCAAGATCATGGGTCTCAGGCTCTAATTTTATTATCCCAGGGTTCCATTTGCCGAAGTAAAAGCACTGATTGTCAGATCCCATTAGGTACTCTTGAATGGTGGAACAAGTGGCTGCATCAGGCTGAGGAGCCTTGGGCATGGTTCCAGCTGTGCTGCCGACCTCTGTGACACCAGGGAAAGTCACACCCCCTCTGGGCCTCAGGGGTCATCGAGCTCAGAGGAGGGCCCTGAAGTCTCTTTCTGGTGGGTATGCTCTTTGGCTGTTCTTATGTAATAGTGGGCTCCTTGCTGGTGGGCAGTGGGTTGCAAATAGTTTTTACAAATATTAAGTTCCTTGTCTCAGGTGATCTGTTGGAGAAGCTCTAGAGTTCCACTGTCCAATAGAAACACAGTGTGAATCACACATGTCCTTGAAATTTTTCTAGCAGCCGCATTAAAAAAAGGTAGAAAGAAGCAAGTGAGATTAACCTTAATTATATATTTTAACCCAATATTTCTAAAATATTATCACTTGAACATGTAATATAAAAATGAGATACTTTCTTTTCTTTTTTCTTGTCCTAAGTCATCAAATCAGGTGTGTATTTTCCACTTATAGCACATCCCAATTTGACCACATTTCAAGTGTTCAGTAGCCACGTGTGGCTAGTGGCTACCATAATGGACTACACCGATATAGAACACTTCTTTCCTTGTAGAAAATTCTAGTGGACAGTGCAGATATAGAGCTCAGGGACATGGGTTTGAGTCCCCACTCTACCACTGTGTAACCTTGGGTAAGGTTCTTACCCTCTCAGAGCCTCAGTTTCTTATAAAATGAGGATAATAATAACACCCAGTGTCCACATTGGACTTGTGTAGATACAACTGCTGCAACTACTACTAATCACTTCCGTTTAGTGAGCCCCTACTTCCTCCTGGGTGCTTTGCACATATTTTTAATCGATACAGGGACCTTGCAAATATGTGTTTTGATCCCCATTTCACAGATGTGGAAACTGAGGATCACAGAGGGGAAGTAACTTACCCAAAGTAATACAACTAGTATAATAGCCAAACAAGGGTTTGAACCCAGGTCTATCTGATTTTAAAGCTCATTTGTTTTAGTGCCTTACTTTAAATTTAGAAACCTAGGGGTCGGCCTGGTAGCACAGCGGTTAAGTGCGCACTTTCTGCTTTGGCGGCCCGGGGTTCGCCCGTTCGGATCCCGGTTGCGGACATGGCACTGCTTGGCAAGCCATGCTGTGGTAGGCGTCCCACATATAAAGTAGAGGAAGATGGGCATGGATGTGAGCTCAGGGCTAGGCTTCCTCAGCAAAAAGAGGAGGATTGGCAGCAGTTAGCTCAGGGCTAATCTTCCTCAGGAAAAAAAAAAAGAAACCTAAGCTATGCTATGCAAATGTTAGCTAGTTATAGGTTCTGTTCTGGAGGGGTTGCAAACTCAGTGCCTTCAGGGGTCTGGCAAGTGGCATAAATAATAAAGTTCTGGGTGCTATGCAAGCGTGATGGGATGTGGTGTACTGGAGGCTTGTGTGCCAGACTGATTTTTTAAAACCACCAAGCTGGACAAATCAAACAAATCTCCAGGAGATTTGGTCCATGGACCACCAATTTGAGACCCTTGGTCTAGTAGGAATACTTCAGTCTCTGTTTATATTTTAGAACTTCCTAGTAGAAATGTGCATGAGTCACTGGAGATCTTATTAAATGCAGGTTCTGATTTGGTGGGTTTGGGGTGGGGCCTGAGATTCTGCATTCCTCACAGGCTCCCAGATTCTGCTGCTGCTAGTCTGAGCCGCACCTTGAGTAACAAGGTAGTAGGGAATGATGTGAGGCCAACCATTATCCCGTGTGACAAATAAGGAAGCTGAGTCACAAAGCTGATAGGTAATCGAGGCGGGAATAGGTCTGGTTCTAAGAGCTGTGTTCTCAGCCACAATGTTGTACTGCAAGCTTGGAGAAGGTGACCTTGAAGGTTACTTAGTTCTCTCTGTGGAGGCTGAATGAGATCCTGAGGTTATGGGGAGGGGAGAGGGTGGCCATTAGCAAGTGGGTTTTATAAGCAGATGCTGGGGGTGGCTTGCCCACGTCCCTTCTAACTTACTGCTTCAGTGCACAAGCCAACTTTTCCAGCTGCCACTCCTGTGTTTTTCTGCCTGAGGGCACCTTCTTCACCCCACTATGGCAGACCTGCAAGGCCAGAGGATTGACACATCCCAGGAGCAGCCCTCAACCAGTGAGTGATGAACGCCCCCGCCCACACTGGGTGGGATAACTGAGACACATGCTGCACACTGGCTTCCAGAGCGCCCAGCAGGACTGAGATGCAGTTGCCCACGGTGGACACTTGCTTGATAACACCCCCTTCCCTGTCTTCCTTCCTCATGCCCCTACCATTGCTTGCTGGGACCACTTCCCATATAAACCACTTGCACTCAGATTGTCTTGGGTCTGCTTTCGGGGGAACCCAAACTAAAATTGGCCTCTGGTGCAGCAGGTTGAGAGGTAGTACAACATGGTGGTTAGGGATGTAGGCTTTGGGGCCAGCGTGCCCAGGCTCAGCTCTGGCCCCGCTGTTTCCTTGGGCAAGTGACTTAACCATTCTGTGCCTCTGTTTTGTCATCTGTAAAATAGGCATGCTAATAGCACACACCTCATAGGGTGGTCTGGAGAATTAAATGATACGACTCATATAAAGTAAGCACTCAAAGTTTGCTGTTACTTCTAACATAACGTCCAAACAGAAGGGAGCGTGGCCCTGAGAACTGAGTACGCCTGTGCAGAGGGTTCCTGGACCCGATTCCAGCGTCTGTGTGTGTGTGGAGGCTTCCCCACACCCAGAAGCTGTCCTCGGATGCCAGCAGGGTATCCGAGAATTCAACTCAATTCTGACTCTCTCTACCCAGAGATAGAATCAGACTCCACAGGGAACGGGCTCGGTCCCACAAGAGACTGCCCTCCACTCAGAGGTCGGTCACAAGCCCAGATGGTTACCTGTGCTTCTGATCAATCGGCTACAAACCAGGGTTTCCCACAACCGCCTCCTCAGGTTCTATTGATTTGGTAGAACGGCTCACAGAACTCAAGAAAACCCGTTTACTCATTAGATTACCGATTTATTACAAAGGATACTAAAAGAAACAGATCAACAGCTAGATGAAGAGATATATAGGGCGAGATCCCAAACAAAGGAGCCTCTGTCCTCGTGGAGCTTGGGGACAGGCACGGTGGCATGTGGAAGCTCTCTGAAAAAGGGTGATGAGCTGCCCTTTTGGGGTTTTTTGGAGGCTTTTTAAGTAGTCATGATTGACTAAGTCATTGGTCTTTGGCAATTGATCAACCTCAAGCCCCTCCCCACTCCCTGGAGGACCTGGGGTGGGACTGAAAGTTCCAGTCCTCTGATCACATGGCTGCTTCTCCTGCCAACCAGCCCCCACCCTGGGTGGGGTCCAAAAGTCACCTTTGTTAACATAAACAAGAAATTTCAAGGGTTTTGGGAGCTGTGAGCCAGGAACTGTGAACGAAGACCAGGTATATATGAGAAATATATTTTGGTCATCTGGATGGCCAAATATATATTTCTTATAAATCACAATATCATGCCCTGCTTTTAGCCTGTCCTACCCCCCAGCTGAAGGTAAAGCCTTGGCTGCCACCCCTCCCGACGTCCCCCCACTGCCGCTGGAGTTTGGCTGGCTCCACCACCGACTGTCTCTGCTCTCTAAGAATAGGTTTCCCTCACAGATGGCATCGCTCTGGATCCTGCCAGAGCATCTGGTGCCTCCAACTGCTCACTCCAGGGAGGAAGGCAGTGTGGTCCTTGCCGGGGAGCAGAGCTCTGGCTTCCAGCAGACCTGGGGGGAGTCCCCACTCGGCTCCCTCCTAGCTGAGCTTCCACTTCCAAAGATCTGTAAAACAGAGATTGCCAAAGGGCCCTTGGCACACAGTTAGCACTCCGTAAATGCTAGTTCCTGAAGCAGCACAGTGGTTTAACATGTGTTTAGTAAGCACCTGCTATATTCCTATGAAGTCTGACATGCAAGACTATAAAAAATAATTTTTCATCAATAAGACTTACACATAGTACAAAACTTAAATGGTACAAAAGGTGCATAACAGGGAAAAGTCAGGTCCCCTCCTACACCCCAGCTCCACCCCTAAGCCCCTTCCCTTGCCAGGGGCCCTCAGTGCTGGCACTTTCTAGTACAGCCTTCCTGAGACTGTCTGCACAGCCACCTGTCATGTCTTGTAAGTAACTTTTGCATTGCACTGTCATTTCAACAGCTCTTTGACATTTCTTCCTTGTCCTCTGCATGTTTGGTTTCTCTTTGATCAATAATCTGGTATGAAAGTGAGTCCTTTCTTTGAGCTGTTTCCCCCCAACTTCTCCGCCAAGCCCCTACCCTCAATATCTCAGGCAGGTCCTTACTGTGATCCAAGTGAAAATGGACCACCCTAGCTGTCTTGAGCCTTACTGTAGATGGCGCCCAACATTCAGGCCCATGGAACTCCAAGTGAAAGGGGAAGGACAAAACCCAAGTTAATTTGGGGCCCTCCTGCTGCTCTGCTCCCAAATTAGAGATTGTTCGGTGAACCCATGTGAGAGCGATGATTCACAGGCTGGGATGCCAAGAAACCGCCTCCTGTGATGCTCGCTGCTCCCGCCTTCCACATCACAGGCTCCAGAAAGTGTCCTGGAGATGGCGTTCCTTTCCCCGTTGTCCCTTCTCCCACTGCCGTGAGTGCATTTGGGGTTTATAAGAATCAGGCTTTGAATGTGCCACCCTCCTAAACCAGAACATTGTGCTGTGCTCCACCTCCCGGCGCGAACCCCACATCCTCACCACAATCTTCGACTTCAGGGTTGCCTTCTTTGATGAATTAGAGAGTACTTTAAAAAGAAATATATTTTTTTTCTCTCCTTGTCTTGTTCCAGATTCATAGGGAGAAAGTGTGTCTTACCTCAGCTTTGAAGAGTATTTTGGGTGAGAGGGTTTTAATTTTTAACTAGCGGGTCTCCTGCAGGACTCACTCTGGTGAGCTGGAGGCCACACGGGCCAGGCAGAGGACAGAGGGAAAGCTGGGCTCTCTTCTGAGGACTTTTGAGAGAAGGCTTCCTAACAGAGGGCTCTGCTTTCTGTGCTTGGTCTCTGTGCTCAGAGCTGCTGTAGATGCCATGATTTCATAAACAGGACAAGACCAGGCAGAACTGAAATTCAGGTCGTGGGGTCTCTCTCTCCGAAACCTTGTTCTCACTGCTCTTCTGGGCTTCTCCCTTCAGCCTCTCTTCCTGGGCTGGACGTCAGCTGAGAGAAGGATCAGGGCCAGACCACATCAGCTCTTTTAAGACACTCCTTTGGAGGGTGTGGTTTTTTTGTATGCATCAGGAACCCTTTTGGCATCTGGTGAGGACTATGAACCCTTCTCAGAATGCTGTTTTTAAAACCCATAAAATAAAATACACAGGATTACAAAAGACAACAATTATATTGAATATGGAAATAATTATCAAAAAAAAAATTTTTAAGATTGGCACCTGAGCTAACAACCGTTGCCAATCTTCTTTTTTATATTTTCTGGTTTTTCTCCCCAAATCCCCCCAGTACATAGTTGTATATTTTGGTTGTTGGTCCTTCTAGTTGTGGCATGTGGGACGCCACCTCAGCGTGGCCTGATGAGCGGTGCCATGTCCGCGCCCAGGGTCTGAACTAGTGAAACCCCGGGCCACCGAAGCGGAGCACACAAACTTAACCACTCGGCCGCAGGGCTGGCCCCTCAAAAAATTTTTAAAACTTGTGATTTAGTAATAGATTTTTTTAACACATTAAATAACAAGATCTATTGGCAGATCCAAAACTACCACAATTTCACAGGTGCCTAAACATAAACTCAAGGTCCCTGCAGCACCTGTGACATGGCAATAGCTGTGACTGCCGTTGGCAGTTTGTCTTTCTACAGTCCCAGGTGCCGCCATAGGCCTCTGGTGTGTTGCCTACATTCAGAATTGAAGGAAATGTTACATTTCAGTTAGAGGCCAGTGAAAATAGAGTTGAGATTTTTTTCCTGTCCAAGTTCATGGAATCTGGGTTCATGGATTGCAGATTCAGAGCCCCTGCTTGAGAGTGACCTTCCTGGCCCCACCTCATGGCCGCTGACATTGTTTACCAAGCCCTGAGCACGGGAATAATAAAAATAATGGCTAATGTTGACTGAGTCCTTACTAAGTATCTGGTGATATTGGCGGCTAGGATTCAGCAAAGAACGAAGCCAGTTCTTGCCCACCTGGGGCTTACAGTCTAGGGAGGGGAGACTGACAAATGAATACACAAATGCGCTAATTTCAGAGGGCGGTCAGCGCTGTGAAGTCAGTGGTACAGGGCAGCGTAATAGAATGAGTTGGAATAGGAGAACAAGAGCGTCTGTTTTCCAGGGAAGTCCTCTCTGAGGAGGTAATGTTTGCTCTGGGACCTGAATGATGGAGGAGAGAGCCATGCAAAGGTGTAGAGGAAGGGGGTTCCCGGCATAGGATCTGCCAAGTGCACAGGCCCTGAGGAAGGAACGAGCTGAAAGCATTCTAGGGCCTGGCAGGAGGCCAGCATGGCTGGGACAGAGAGCGTGCAGGGTGGGGGCGCATTGGAGCCTTGGAGGTGGAGTCCAAGAGGCTGGCTGGGCCCATCAGGCAGGCTTTGTGGGCCAGAGTAAGGGGGTTGGGTTTTCTTCTAAGTGTGACTGGCAGCCTTTGGCAGGTTTAAGCAGGGGAGGTGATGCTGTGATTTGCATTTTGGAGAGAGCCTTCTAGCTGTGTGTGGAGAATAGAGCATAGGGGCCAGATGAGAGACCCATGGTGGCCTGGACCAGGGTGGGGCTGCGAAGTGGAAAGAAGTGGGCAGATCTGGGGTGCAATTTGGAGATAAACTCAGTGGCCCAGGGTTTTGGAGGTGGAAGTGAGGAAGAGGGGCAGCAAATGACCCCCATGTTTCCCCTCCTTAGGCCTTGCCCCCCGCCCAACTGGGAAACAGGCCCTGACCTTGCCCCTGCTCGCCTCCTCAGCCCCCTTCAGCCCTCCATGGCCCCTCCAGGGCCAGCCACCCGCCCACAGGGCCCCTGGCATGCGGGCTTCCCAGCTGGCCCCGATTGTCGTTACTCCCCAGGGAGTCATGGGAACACACTCCCCCTGCCCCCTCCACCCCCCTCTTCCCAGACAGGGCCAGGCCCTAACAATGCCCCCTCAGCCAGCCAGTGGCCTGGACACAATGCCCCTGTTTCGGTTCATTGCCAGCTCCCGGAGGCCTGCTGGGTTTCCTGGCCTGTTTGGCATATATATAACTCTGGCTTCCAGCAGGGATTTTTTTTTCTTATTAAAAATAAAAGCTCTCTGGCTCCTCCTCTCTGAATATCTTAATATATTATAAAAAGTCTTTCTCTCCTGAGCCCTCCCTGCCTGCATTTGCCATGTGCCTGTCAAAACGGGGACCAAATGCAGGTCAGCATCAGCGAGAAAAACAGAAAAAGAAAGAAAAGTTGCTTGCTCCCCCGTGGCTAATCTCGAATATGCTGGAGATGCTGAAGGTGATAAGAATAATCTGAGGGTTTATGACATGGCAGGCACCGTGCCGGGCACTTGCTGTCCACCGTATCTCATTACTTCTCAGACACCATCAAAGAGGACGCACAACATTATTTTGAGCCCCTAAGAA